TGCCTTATACATTATTCAATATTTAATAATATACATGTACTTATTATTAAACAAAAATGACAACTACAAAAACGATAAATTCTGGTATATACAAAATAGATTTAAGATATAATTACGTTATGCATTTGTTAGAAACATTCTAAAAAATGGAAGGAAAAATAACAAGAAAAAATTAAAATGTATTTAAAAAAAAACTAAATGTCACAAATATACCCCAGAATTAGAATTGTTGGGACTTTACAGCAGATTCCATTGAGTGTGTAGTCAAAGGTAATATCTTTGGTTAGCTTGCTTGTTAGCTGAACCGTGAAGTCATTGTTAGGTTAGGTAAACTACCCTACTTTAAGAATAGACTAGTCCGACAGAAAACCAATCGATCTGTCTGTTGTACTATGCTACTTCGAAAGGAGGGTAGTATACCTGACCTAATAATGACTTCACGGTTCAGCTAACAAGCAAGCTAACCAAAGATATTACCTTTGGCTACACACTCAATGGAATCTGCTGTAAATATTTTTTGTATATTATGGTTTTAATACCGGTAGGCGTTTTTGGTATAGACCCAATAATAGGCCAATTCAGTTAGGGGCGTAGAGATAGTGAGTCGACCCTAAATAGAAAAATTAAATTTATTTGAATAATAAATGTCAAATTATAAAAAGAATAAACAAAAACAATGATATAATGTCTGAAGTATTTATATTTCGAAGTTCTGTGGTATATTTTTGGTGTTCTGTGGTATTCTGTGGTGTTCTGTGGTATTCTGTGGTGTTCTGTGGTAAAAAGACGCTCCCGATCGAGCACTGAAGTCACAAATTTGCATCGCCCTTACAATACACTACACAATTCACACATACATAACCCATTTATCATGCAAACATGCAAAGTGAATGTGGTTGGTTGTCAAATAATACATAAATATTGCATGTACAGTTAATGAAGAAATTAGTTCATCAAATAGATAAGATTTCCACTCATCACACAAATGGACTGGGTTGACATTTCTGTCATCGGGGATAATTGATAAATGGGATTAAACTGACCGTCAAGAAGGTCTAGAGAACGACCTCTGTGGAGAACCTTAACATTAATAAGTAATACTTACCAAAATTGCTCTATATTATGAAACGCTATTTAAATGAAATGTCAGAAAGATTACGATGTAATACTGATGGCGGGGATGCAGGTTATTTTGGCGCGAAAAAAATATTCTTACTCCTATTGCTTGACGTAATAAAATTTGCATAGAATCAAATTTAACTAAAGTTCAGCGTAAGCAAAAGTGAATATGCAGAAGCATGACGATATATTAATGATAAAATGTGTATACATTTCTGTAAAAGAAGTTGCCAGTATACTTCACTATAAAAATTACATCTGAGTGCAAGGAGATCTCTATTTGTGAATTGATTTATTAACCCCGGTTGAACCCGGTTGAACCCGAGGTCGAAGTTCAACATTTTAACGGAAATTTACCTAATTGCATTCGGAATTCTCATGACTTTTTATACCTTCAACGTATTTTGCATTCAGAATTCTCATGACTTTTTATACATTCAACGTATTTTCCCAATCATTTATTTATTTAGTATATTTATATATAATTTATTTATTTTTTTAATTATTTATTTATTTATTTATTTATTTATTTATTTATTATTATCACTTTTTTTATTTTTTTTTATTTATTAATTCATTTATTTATTTATTTTTTATTTATTTATTTATTTATTTATTTATTTATTTATTTATTTATTTATTTATTTATTTATTTATTCATTTATTCATTTATTTATTTATTTATTTATTTATTCATTTATTTTTCGTGAAACTTGCAACATTTTCCGATATATTGCATGCATTCACTACACGTATTGTTATATCAGTTTAATTGCCGATATACTGGAATGTTTTGATTTTTTGAAAGAGTAGATCACTACGGAGTATCAAGATTATATATTATCAATTTGCACAAATAGTACAATGCCAGTATATCAATTTCAAATATATTGTTTCTACATGTATCAAGTTCACATCCTGTCTTAAATTGGTTATGTTAAGAGCAAATGGATATAGAGCACATTTTACAAAAAAATAACAAAGCAGTTATTATGAGTATATACTTTTGTTAAAGTAAATGTTACAATAGTATATCCCGGTTACCACATTTTATATCAGTAGAAGTATCCAGCAATCAAAATGTAGCTACCTAAAAAAAAAAGCTTGATACGAACTTGAAACAGTTGTGATAGGATTATGCTACATGCCGCGGTGTTTGTCTATTTACATCCTTGTATAAGATTCGAAGAAATCTGAAGCAAAAGATTTTCAGTTGCTCATCTTATTGACCTATCATATCTAGTGAAATCCCGTGACGTGGTCACATAGTTATCAAACCCGTGAGATGGTCATTGCACAAGTCATGTCTTCTTTGACTGTTCATGACGTTAAAATACAAAATCCCTGCGACTCATTTCACAAAAAATCTTACGAGTAAAAACACTCGTAAGTCATGAACAAATCAGTATAACTTACGATCAATTTTAGTCGTAAGATTTTTTGTGAAAAGAGCCCTAGGGATGTGTTTTAGTTGATTTCAGTCTCTGATGCATGATGTTTTATTATTAATTGTTTTGGCTTTTAACTAGCTGCCAGTAACTGCGAGTACTCTCAAATCGTACTTTCTTTTTAATTTGACCTGTTAATACTATTTGTAATGCTTTTTTGTTATTTAATGTTTACATGGATCTTGTCTATATACCAGCTTTGATTATTTGGTATTACTACAAATTTTCACTTCTTCGTACTATGAACATCAAAATTATTTCATTTCTCCTTAAATACTGTACAGGAAGTTTTATCTAGCACTTATTGTATAGTTTTATTGTTGATATTCACCCCATATGTACCAAGTGTTAAATTAGTTTTATTGATATTAAAGAAATTTCTTGGTATTCCTAAACGAAAGATTTTATACACACAGAAGAAGGAGTATACTTAACAACAAAATTATTTTCATTTACCTGTGTATAATATGACGCAGGTTTTTTCAAAAGTGATGATTTTCTAAATATTGTTTAACATTTCACAGTGGTATCATACTTTAACTTTGTTTAAACCTGTTTATTTACTTTTGACCTAAATTATTTATCCTTATAATTTTTATTAACTATGCATTTGCATTCAGGTATTCGTTCATTGTGTGTTAATTTACGTTTTTTGATTGAGTTAAGCCTTCCAATTGATATTTTATAGTCTGTCTTTCTATGTTGTGATGTTATACTATTGTTTCAGAAAAGGGAGAAGGTTTGGTACCATTAAAACGTTTAATCCCGCTGCAAATGTTTGCACCTGTCCTAAGTCAGGAATCTGATGTACAGTAGTTGTCGTCTGTTTATGTAGTTCATACGTGTTTCTCGTTTCTCGTTTTTATATAGATTAGACCGTTGGTTTTCCCGTTTGAATGATTTTACACGAGTAATTTTTGGAGCCCTTTATATCTTGCTGTTCGGTGTGAGCCAATGCTCCGTGTTGAAGGCCGTACCTTGACCTATAATGGTTTACTTTTATAAATTGTTACTTGGATGGAGAGTTGTCTCATTGGCACTCATACCACATCTTCCTATATCTACTTATAAGGAAATCCCGTGCGGTGGTCACATATAAGAAAATCCAGTGAGATGGTCACATCTAGGGTAACCCCTTGAAATGGTCATATCATGTGATACCCAGTGACATGGTCCTATCTATTGAAACCCCGTGAAATGATCACATCTAGTGAAACCTTGGTCACATTTAAGGAAACCCCGTAACATAGTGACATCTAGTGAAACCAAGTGAGATTGTCACATCTAGTGAAATCAGTGAGGTAGTCACTTCTAGGGAAATCCGTGAGATTGTCACAATCTTTATAAAACCCGTGAGGTGGTCACATCTAGTGAAACTCCGTAAGATTGTCACATCTAGTGAAACTCCGAAAGATTGTCACATCTAGTAAAACTCCGTAAGATTGTCACATCCAGTGAAACTCCGTAAGATTGTCACATCTAGTAAAACTCTGTAAGATTGTCACATCTAGTGAAACCCCGTAATATTGTCACATCTAGCAAAACTCCGTAAGATTGTCACATCTAGTGAAACTCTGTAAGATTGTCACATCTAGTGAAACTCCGTAAGATTGTCACATCTAGTGAAACTCCGAAAGATTGTCACATCTAGTAAAACTCCGTAAGATTGTCACATCCAGTGAAACTCCGTAAGATTGTCACATCTAGTAAAACTCTGTAAGATTGTCACATCTAGTGAAACCCCGTAATATTGTCACATCTAGCAAAACTCCGTAAGATTGTCACATCTAGTGAAACTCTGTAAGATTGTCACATCTAGTGAAACTCCGTAAGATTGTCACATCTAGTGAAACTCTGTAAGATTGTCACATCTAGTGAAACACCGTGAAGTGATCACAATTTTAGATTGCCTAAAACAATTCAGCCGGAACAATACCTTTTCTTAGGTTTAGATTTACTTACATGAATTAATATGTTTTTTGTAAGTTAACGTATCAGCATCGATTCAAAATATGATCAAATACTTCTGACTGGTCAATGGTCATTTAGAAGAGTAAAACTTGGTATTGAAGTTAATATGTATATCGATGTCATAGTGGAACGACTGAATTATTCTTGTATGGAATCGCATTTTATCTGCTATGGTATCGGGCGGAAAAAAATATGCATGAATAGCAACAGATGTGGTCGCCAATGGAAAACTGTAGACCAATAATAAATAATACTTATGACATCGCGAAACCTGTCCAAACCAGACCCCATTCGGTTTACCTAGGACAAGGTTACAAAAGGTATAAACATTTAACTATTAACATTATTTATTATAATATAAGAGTTTTTGTTACACCTGCGTTCTTTTATGCAGGTTCCTGTTTAGATAGGTTCCACTGTACTGTTAAATTTAACTCTGATGTTGTGTATAATATTTTTCAGAGGAGTGTCCATCCGACCAAGGCTACTTGTATTACCCAACAGAAAACTTTTGTGTAAAGTTACATACAACTAAGATATCATACTTCGATGTGCAGTATAACTGCCTTTTAGAGAGAGCAGCAACAGTAAGAGTTGACAGCCTCAAAAAGCTCAACATTCTACAAATGTATCTAGGTATTATTTTAAAATGTATACTTCATGTAGGAAGGTGTGGATGAGAATATTTGGCATAAAAAATGTATAGAGAAAAATAGAGAATAATTGGCCAAAACATAAAGAATGGAGGAAATTACCTTAACATTTCTAGAATAAAAAAATAAAGAACCCTAATCCGGACCCTCATGTAGTGGTGTACATAAGCATAAGGCAATATGAAGATTCAAAAATTGTGTTGCAAAGTTCACTGTTGTGGACGTTTAAAGATGTAATTCGTCAAGATGTCTATTATGGAGCCGTTGAACACGAGTGACAAAATTGTCGAGAATGGACGTTAATGTTATGGATGCTTCTAAATTTGATATGTATAATGTACCCCAAATAGTTAATAAGTATTTATTTGTTCATTATCATTTTTTTCCATAATATTATCATGTTACTACTGTATATTCATTTTAGGAAATTCGCACGTATAAAAAATAGCAGTAACTGTTGAAATTTTAGTTCTTAATCATTTTCCCAGTCATTGATAAAATTGAAAGAAATCAAATTGCCGTTCGCGGTTAGTGCAAGATTTTTAGCATTGGTATTTACTTTTCTAAGAAGAACAGTTTACGTAAATGCTTTACCAACAGAAAGAACGTATCACACTTGCATTTGTAGACATACATTGTAATCTTCCCACTTTACGACATATATTAACAAGATTCATATTTCGTTTACAATACTACATTTAAGAATTAAATGCTTCTTTTTGTAAATCTATTGGGGTGTAAAAGCGTTGACCGAAGCACATATGTATTTAAATGGAGTAAATATTATACAATGAAATAAATAATCTATAAGCTTTTTTCTAATGGAAGGAAAGCTATCATGGCGCTTTGTTGCTTGATGAGGCTCTTCTTTGCATTAGTAGCATATAAGCATTGTTCTTATTTTCCATTTCTACAACGATAAACAAATTACGTCAAGACAAAAAGTAAATGAAATATTAAGGATGTATTTTCTGATAAAAAAAAAACACACACATACCTGTTAAGCGTTGACCGAAGCACATATGTATTTAAATGGAGTAAATATTATACAATGAAATAAATAATCTATAAGCTTTTTTCTATTGGAAGGAAAGCTATCATGGTGCTTTGTTGCTTGATCAGGCTCTTCTTTGCATTAGTAGCATATAAGCATTGTTCTTATTTTCCATTTCTACAACGATAAACAAATTACGTAAAGACAAAAAGTAAATGAAATATTAAGGATGTATTTTCTGATAAAAAAAAAAACACACATACCTGTTAACACATTAGAAATTTTTTATTTTGCGTCAACTTAAAAAGTAAAACATTTTTGATCTTGTAATTTCATACGTATATTTTATTCATTATTTGCGTAATGTGTCGTTTTTCATAAGCATATTCATATAATTGTAGGGTTGGCGATAACGTTTTTTGTATATTTTGTATAACAGTTATCATAAAAAAATATAATTTCTATGCATATATAACAAAATTAAAATGTAACAGGAAAAATTATGTTGTCCAACGAACCCTTCAGGGTCCTACGATTCAATTTATCAAAGTGTAAATAGACTGTCAAACGCTAAAATCGAGCATCCTGAAGGCAGGTTTGGCATGATCATCGAAGTATATATAGCATACAATGTATAAATAAGAACGCTTAATCTAATATAGACTAAAATAGCAAGATTTCTATAGATCACCATTATGAATGAGAATAACGTAACATGAAAACGGACAAAACAGTTTATAGAAATCGAGTAGAAATTACCTGTTGATAATTTTATATAAAATAGTGTCTTTAACAAAATTTCGAATAAGCTGTGTAGTCTTTCAAAAAAGACCCTTATGACCCTTGATGAATGTATTGTCAGCGTAGACTGTCTGTACCATAAAGTATTGACTAACTGATGTATCCTTAACAGCGTAGACGGCACTATAAAGTATTGACTAACTGATGCATCCTTTACAGCTTAGGCTGCACTATAAAGTATTGACTAATTGATGCATCCTTTACAGCTTAGGCTGCACTATAAAGTATTGACTAATTGATGCATCCTTTTTGTTGTAGCTACTCAAGGATATAACGATGACAACGATTTCGCATACATCATGGGCGATCTTATGCAGGGTAACACGTATGTTTTTATAGATGGCACGGAAATGCTTTATTTTGATTGGATGTCTGGACAACCAACTGGTGTAAGTGGTGCACGAATAGTTATGGGAGGAAGCAATCAGAAGTTTAAGGATGTAAATGAATATGAACTGCACGGGTTTATTTGCGAGAAACATATTCTCAAGCCATAATTTACGGTTAACATTCCAAGTTACGTCGATTTTTTTTTAACCAGCTTGAAGATGACAAACACGTTGAGAATAATGTTTATTAATAAAAACTAGAAACTGTGTTTGATATCTTGATGAAAACTTGGAGAAGGTCACTTTGAGAACATCGAATGACTTTTGCTTGCACAAGATTCCAAACAGACAATCTACTTATTATATGATTAATATGATTACCACATTTTGATATTCCTTCCCTTTAATTTACATTTGCACTGATACCGACTACAGAGATTAACTACGAAGTCCCTATCTACTCAAACAAATATTCTATTCTATAGTTATATGGATTGATTTTATATATAGCAAGAAAACTATAGCCTACATATTCATCATTTTCCAGATATGGAATTAACCTTTTACTGTGAGTGCGACAATCAAAGACAGAAAAGACGAGTTGATAAAGTTATATATGGCCCGTTCAAAAGTCTATAAAGTCAACTTCTCCTACTTTTGTTAAATGAAAGTAAGGTATTCTCTGCTTGAATGTAGATCGTTTTTAAAATCATAACAATCTCAAGTTAATTTAGATTTGAGAAAATCTTAGAAGTTTTCAGAAAAATTATCTTTAAACAAAGTAAATAAAATCATTTATGAACAAATAAATGAATTATATCAAATGAAACCCATTTTGTACATATACTATAATACGCAATTCAGTACAGAAATAAAAATGAAAAACTGTAAGAAAACAGTTCTTTCAAACGGTCGGAACAGTTTCATATAAGGATAATCTGAAATAAGAATGGGAAATATGTGGCCTTCATTACGAAAATAGACAGCAACACAACAAATAATATAAGATGTTGAATGTACGTAAATAGACAGCAACACAACAAATAATATAAGATGCGGGATGTACGTAAATAGACAGCAACACAACAAATAATATAAGATGTGGGATGTACGTAAATAGACAGAAACACAACAAATAATATAAGATGTGGGATTTACGTAAATAGACAGCAACACAACAAAAAATATATAAGATGTGGATGTACGTAAAAAGACAGCAACATTACAAATAATATAAGATGTGGAATGTACAAACATAGACAGCAACACAGCAAATAATATAAGATGTTTCGAGAGCAAAACACTTGATTAAGTTGGACTGTGTGGAATATGTAAATACGCAGCCACGTCCGGTTGTTAAAGAACACTTGGCTGTCTAAATTTCCCGCCGGTCATCCCGTTAAACTCATACCTTGCAGAACCTGGCTACTGTATTAATTGTTAATTTGTTGTTGTCGTGAACATTCATGAACTATTTGCGACTGGACGTTAAACTATCAACAATCAATCATCATACGTGTTATTTATCTATCTATAACAAATACAAGAGTTCAACTTCATGAGCCAGACCCAGGGACATATACAAATTATAGCCGAAAAAAAGATTCCGAAATGCAATCGTGATCAGTTCGGTCATACGTTTTAGACCTTACCAGATGTACACAAACAAAATACTTTACGTAGTCCAGATGACTGAACTTCACTGGGTTAACTTATTCCTTGTTTATAAGGCTAACAAACTCAGGCAGTGTGTGAGTTCTATTGCTTTCGTAAATTTTGATCGGTATATATATTATTTGTCTAGTAGGAACCAATGTTTTTTTTTTTAATTTTTATTTTCCATGTCCCATACTTCCTAAACACGATGAGAGGAATATAATTATCTGTAGACCTTTTGAAACGCCAAATTCTCTCGTTATAGCAAACTGTACGTTTATTTTTTTTTTCATCTAACTATAATGTGAAAAGCTGATCTTTATTTCTTATTGCTGGGTTATTAATCTAAATCACCAACCAATTATATATCAAACAGAGCTCACAAAAGCCAATAGATTTTTAACTGCAAGGTAAATCCGAAATTTCGGTTTGAATGAAATGTCCGGATGTTACCATTGTTGAATATCTAGAGGCAATGATGGAAAATGAAAAATCCATTCCTATATATGTATTTGTAGTTACAAACAAATTCTATCATTCATAAACTTTGACATGTTTGATCGTATGTTTCAGGCAACAGCTTTATTTCCGAAAGCAATGTTATAGATCATATTTGTTTCACTAAATGTGGTTTTCTGAAAGTTTTACAAATTTTTTTAATAAACACGTGTTTCTTGCTCTGAAATACCATATTCAATCTTTTGAAGATGAAGGTAAGTTAACAATTTCACAGTTTAAACGATGCAAAAACACATGCTTGTAATTGTGTTTTCTCCTTTTTATATGCAATCACAGATTTCATGACCTGCTTTATAGAACAAGAGGTCATGAAAAAATGTAAAGGTTAATCCTCATTTATTGTCCTCAGTCATGCATTGTAAACCATCAGAAAACAATTTTAACAGCTTGGTTAATCCGTAAATGAATATAGAATTATTATACTGATTTTTTTTTTTATAAAGAGATAATTTCAATAATCAAACTATTTGACTATGAAATGAAATCATATGTGATTATATTATTTTAAACAGATGGGCAACGACACGAAATATAAAGCTTCTTTATTTTTTAAATAATTATTTATCTTTTTACGGTTAGAATATAATTCGAAATCAATGTTTACAATAAGCAACCAAGTGTGCTTTTGATTATCATTTCTTTGAAAAAAAAAATAGATGCGGTGTTTTTCATTGAATTATATTTAATATAAAAAAACACAACTTCGTATTGTCTCCGAATAATACTGCGCAAGATTAATTTCTACAAAACCATCCTTCATATATTGGTCAAACCATTTACTTAATTGCATTACAAATAAACATTTTGTGTCATGGATGGATACCCCATATCCTATGTTTTTCTATTAGTATCATGTACTACGGATTTATTTTGGGATTATTATTCAACCTGCAGAATGGGCCATTTCACACCTGCAAACAAGTTCAAGAGTTGTCCATGCATTCTTTCTTTGTGGCTTAATTAATAAAATTATTGATAGTGGTTATAATTATTTGTACAGTTTTTGTAAAAAAAAAAATGTAATGATATTCGTGGAAACTGAAATAAGTTCCTTCATGAATCGTTTGAAGCTAGACAACAATGCTTTTTTTTTATTTCAGCATAAAAATCTGGGCAAAATTTTGAGCATTGAAAAAGATCTTAAATGTCTTCTCGTACAGTTTAGAACAGCAGGATATCAGCAGATTACGTACTTATTAGAGCTTGCTTTTAGTAACTGCAAGCCGTCTTCAATTTGGTTTTATTTCTATTATTGTTGTATCCGTATATTTGATGTCTTATTATACCAGAGTGAACAGACAATATATGTGCATTGTCGGAAAAATATAACTTATTTTAACAAACTTTAGAAACAGGGAGAAAGGGTAGGCTCGCCGAGTTTTTCTCCTGTTTCTTTGTGAGTACAATACATTTTATATATTCCGACAATCTGTCTATAATTTTTATTCTCTTCCGTCCTTGATTTTTGAAGAAATCAACATTGGCTTAAACGCAGACCGCACAGAGGACACCAAAACGAGTTGTGACGTAAACAGTAATTTTAAAATTACCGCTCCCTCAACATAGAAGCATGATAACAGGAGACTTTTTTTTCACAAGTTAAATAAACAAAAAAAACCACTTGTATACCTTTTTTTGAAAAAATAGCTGGATGATTGGAGGATAATATAAATAAAGTTATAGCGTTCTTGTATGAACTCTTTGTTATTCCACTGATTAAGATAAAATGAACATCCATATTTTGATATTCTTTTTGTTAACATGACATTATCAGCGGTTGCTTTAATTCTTTCAGGGCATTTGTTTTTGAGGAAAGATCTATGATAGTCTCTGTATTCTCAACTTTTCTAAATGGACATTTAGAGTAATCAGCTCTTTATAAAATGGCTTATTACGGTTTTGTGACGTCAAACACGTTACCCGGTCTTATTAAATCTGACACGGATATATCACCGACGTCATAATGAATGAAACGACGTTGATAAGTTTGTACCGAACTTATCAAGTCATCATCCGGTGTGCTGGTGAAACAAAGAAAAACACTTGTTTCTATCATGCAAAATACAAAAAATCAATCCGATAAGTCGATTATCAGATTTTCATCATATTTATATTATAAAATGTCAGCTGCTCGACACAACAAGAAGCCTATTTGAATTCGTTCGCTGCGCTCATTCGACAAAAAGCTTCATATTGTGACTCGCAGCTGATATTTTACAATATCAATATACAGACAATCTGATAATCGGTACATATTGTACAGACAACGTATGTTGACCTGTAGATGTTTGTGTTTATTAATGTTGTTGAATTTATTTCTCATTGGAAAAAATACCCCGCATCGATTTTTATTCATATTATGTTAACCCAAGAAACTCAAGGTAACACACACATACATGTATTCTGCAGATTCCATATTTTTTCTTCAAATTGTAGTTTACACTGAACAGACAGAATCGAGGCAAACTAATTGGTAATACCTTAGCGACTTCCTTGTAAAACTTTTGATAGTCTTTCATAATTTGCAATTTGATTACTACAGTTTATTTCTCTTAACACGGATGTCGACAGGTGTTACAAATGTTTAAATACTATTAATATATGACTAATTTCATGATTTTTTTGTAGAATTATCTTATCATGTGTATTTTCGTCTTGTGCACAGTTGGGACATTATATGCCTTCACCTGTGACAGTTGCAGACAGGACATCGCCTCGTGTATCGAAGTATGTGGTCAGTTGACATCAAAAGAGAAGTGCTATTGTCAGAAAGCATGTTATAAATCTGCACTTATTTGTCTCAACTCTTGTGTTGACCTGTCAGGATGGGAAGACATTTGGTTGCTTTTGGCTGATGATTAGAAAAAAGTTTATTTACTACGAGAAGCCGACATCCATAATGTAAATAAAGATTATAATAATCACTTGTTTTTATTTCTAGTACTTATTTTAGTTTTCTAAAGGAATTATAAATATCTTCGTAATTACCTTTGTATACCAAGTAAATGTTATTACAGTAATGGTATTGAATAACAGTTAAACTTCGATTGACGAGCAAATACAATTGACATTTTAAACCATGAATGATAATTGTGACAACTGCATTTAAATGCTAAAAAACAGAATTCTATTTTTTTTCTTACATAACTTCGATTGACGAGCAAATACAATTGACATTTTAAACCATGAATGATAATTGTGACAACTGCATTTAAATGCTAAAAAACAGAATTCTATTTTTTTTCTTAAATCATAAAATATTTAATTATCATAATAAAGCATTAAGTATTGATATAGGGTAACCATCATACTTTTAGTTAAAGCATAAAATAAGCTTCAGTTCCATAAACAATATCGATTCACAAACTAAACAAATGAATTCAGATCAAAATTGAAAAAAAAACACAATTAATCAACATTGAATAATTCCGGTTTACTATTTTAAAATATTTAATGTATAAAATTCCACTTAATCTTAATTATATATGTACATTTTTATGACATATATTTTGAGGGTAGTTATCAACACCATTGTTTCATCATATAAATCATCTGACATTATCAACGAATTACATTTACATTCAAGTATAACGAATTACATTCTGGTATAGCGAATCTTCTAATTTTAACGTAATATTATATCACAAACTGTGATGGATCTGTAAGACAAAGGTCGCACAGTTTATCCACTGAGGCCGGCCCATCTGAAATAGATAAACATATCTCAATTATAGGTAAAAGGAAATAAATGTATACAATATAGTAACAAGAAAAACCCACATTAACAAGAGAAAAAGCCCACACATATACGTCAATTGATAGTTGCCAGTGTTCTATGTACACTGACATACATTAATACCATTATGGAAGTATTAAAAAGGACATTTGAGAACCGTTAACCCTGAACATAATGTATTGCATGCAGGTAGAATTACATCTGCTGTTTTGTTTATTATTGCAATACATGAACAATATAAAAACAATTTAGAAAAAAAGCAGAGAAACTAAGATAAAGTAATAATTGAACTAGCAACTTCATAGATCCTAATTGTTCGATAGTGAGAAATATCTTACTATTCAAACGAGTTTATTTTCTATTCAACTTTTAGTGCTAGTGACATTGACAATTAAATGTAGCCCATCAAAGTTACAGCGACAGAGACACTGCAGAAAACAAATCAACGATCTAAATTGACTTTTACATCTTCAAGACGGAACATTAAATTCAAATTTGAAATCAAACTCTCTCACTGTGCTATTTATTCATGTGCTTCGCATCGCCTTACAATACATTATTTTCAGAGTTAACGATTCTCAAATGTCTTTTTTAATGCGTCCATAATGGTATTTTAAGAATCCTCTTTAACGTGTCTGTCTTGTACAAAATAAAGTTCTTGTTATTTTATTTGTTCTCGTTTATTGTCTTGTTCATAGATCAAGGCGTTGTTTATTTTTTATTTTAGTTTTACTTATTTTACATTTTTTCATTTTTTATGCTTTTTAGATTACTATACGGTATAGGGTTTGCACATTGTTGAATGTCCAACGGCGACCTATAGTAGCTCGCATCCATGTCATATTGGCTCTTGTGGATTTTTGACTCATTGACAATCCTCCAGCTCCTCCTTCTCATCATCATCATCATCATCATCATCCCCTCCTCCTCCTTCTCATCCTTTACCTCTGATTGTCAATTACAAATATAACCAACGTGTAATGAATTTGCTAATATACCCTCTTTCATTTCTGACCTTGTGCATATATGCAAAACAAGATAAGACCTAGAACACATTTTTCTGGACAATTGTTAGAACAAGTAGAAAGTTTGCTCAAAATAATTTTACAGAAAAAAAAACATAACTTGTATGTATTCTATTTTTAAACAACAGAATATTTTGAGCTTTATTACACATAAACTTAAACTTTTAAAATACCTAGCGGGAAAAATGTATCTTTCTGTATATCCTTCCTTGCAGCTTCAACACAACGTTTCAGGGCAAACAATGCTGAAGAACTCATGCATAATGGTGGTTCTCCTACAGCTAATGCAATAAAATATGAGTGGTTTCAATACTTGTATTAACGTTGTGATATTAAATTATGTACGTAATTCAAATTAAACAAAGTTCAATAACTGTTTCGCACACCCCCTTTCTCCCACTCCCATCCAAACACATAGTCATAAATGTATTCAAGGTATGCTAGAAACCTTCATACCGTTTGCATCAGGTGAGATTGGTTTTAAGTAATTACTGCATGAAAGTGTCCTCTATAACACTGATTCTTTGTCTGGGTTTGATTTCGGTACATTTTTAGTTAGATCAGCTCTGCAAAATTTGTATTACTAGGTTTTTGATTTTCACATATTTTGGCCTCCAGCATCAGTGAAAAGACATTAAATGAAAATAATACTTCGTGCGTCCGAAGCGATTATTTGGATTTAACTTCACCACTAACGTCCAAAGCTCAAACATTGAAAACCAGGGATATATATAAGTAACGAAACACGTGAAGAGATATATGAACAAAAGGAACCTAAGATAATAGCCAAAATAATTGTCGAAATGCGCATCTGGTGCCGTAAAAACTGGTACTGTTAATATTAATATGCTGTTTTCTCCGTTTTTTCTCTCGTTTGGATGCATAATAGGATGTGACATATGCAATGACCGTAAGCTTAGAATGCTGTTTTCCATTTATTTATTTTTTAATTATTGTATAGCCTTTATAGTGTTTCTTTTAAATTATTATGCCTTTCTAATTATTCGGACATAAAAGGCCGATGCAAAATTAAAATATATTTAGAAAATGTATATCAGCACAGTACCAATTTGATATATTAAACATCTCAAACTTGATGTGATATTTTTGGTGGAATCTAAATGTATATGCCCATGAACGAATGAAGATAAGATTAAATCAGTATTCATCTCAACGGACTTTCATATCCTAAATACGTAACCCATAAAACAGTGCCTTGTATTTGTCGTCGAAGTTTAGGTTTTGCACATTGTTATGTAGAATCATTGTATGAGACTTTATTTTCGAATATAATCCGGGAACATCAATTTGATAACTTTAAATATGTAAAAGTATATCATATCATGACTATTTATAGATGTGTAATGCAATACGATTACCTTTTGAACGTAGAACGCCTTTAGGGTTGGGTGCATTCTTTAACAACTGTATTCTAAAGTCAATTGGAATATCTTTGGCCATTGGTGGTTTGTATTCCTAATAGGATTTGATAAATAATTGTTGTAGATCACATTCAAATGTCAGTCAAATTATAGATATTAAATATACTTGACAACATAACTTGCATAGATTGAGAAAAAGTGCGGTATTAATTTGATAATTGGCTACAACGACTTATTCTATGCTTGCTTATTAGCGTGTATCTTAATCCTTGTTTCAAAACTGTTAGAAATGGAAATACCTGTTTAATGTCATATCATACGGAAATTTGACAATATTGGTCTTTGTTTACTGTAAAAGACTGTACTGTGATCTGCTCAACTATTTTACCTTCACTGGTTTGTCGTTGAATGATTTTCATCCCTCGTTGATCAAACCAAATTCCTTAATTTTCAGAAGTGATAAAGTGTAACTTTAAAGATAGAAATTACCACTGACGTTATTTGGATTGAATGATTGATTTATAGATTGATTGATGCTTGCTTAACGTTACGAAAAAACAGTAAAAGGATTGAAAATGCCCTTTTTATGATTTTTTATTGATTGATTAATGCCTGCTTAACGTTTAGAGACATAGTATAAGGATTGTAAAGCCCTTTTCTGATTTTGTATTGATTGATTGATGCCTGTTTAACGGTAAGAAAAACAGTATTCAGACATGAACTGATAACATTGCCGTCATACACGTACCATTAAAATAAACTGTTCTAGTTAAGTAATAGTTTTTAGCATATATTTAGTACGAAACGGTAAACTGGATATGTTTTTATGGCATTAACCATTGAAGACTTTCAAATTCATGCACTGTTTTCCGAACATTTCCGATATATCAATGTTATGATATTACGTCGCAATAAGAGTCGACGCATTTCATTCATAAAAAAGAAACCAAAATTTAATTACAGATATTTGCTGTATTTTTAACTTACCCATGTACTATCAGTCAACAGTCTTCCAGACTGAGGATCAAACTTAACCTGTTCTGTAAGCCAGTATCCAAGTCCCATTACAAAGGCGCCCTCTACTTGCCCTACGTCTATCATTGGGTTCATACTAAAATGATAAAAATAGATATTTTATAATTCTAATTGACTAATTCCATGTTGTTAACATTTATACTTGTTATACATTTGTCATTGAAATCACATTTGAATGCCTAGAACCTATAAATTCATAACTTATAGTAATTATATGCACTGCGTTACTGATTGTCCATTTATCTTTAAAATAAATTATAGAGTTTTAAAAATATTTCTCGAATTTCTAAGGATTTTTTGTAGATATAAAATGAGAATAATGATACACATTCCTTCGGTAAAATCTCAGTGAAGATATAGATATTTACGGTTGCTGTCAAAACAAAGTTTTGTACAGTATGGATGTATCAGACAAATCCAAAAGTCTGATGAAAGAGGCCCAACTCAATGAACCTCAACAATAGAAATGTATTTAACGAGAAGATGTTTGGACAAGTTCGACTCGTTATTGAACAATTATAGATTTCTCCTTTCAACCTATTCTAAATGATACAAGACGTTTTCAATTACGATTCCGTCAAGGATATAATAATGCTCCATGGGACTGCAAAACGTTAACAATTTTAGTGTTTCTTTTAGATCTCTTGTTCGTTTATGCTCTTATCTTGATGAAACTAACAAAAAATTCACTATGTTGATGACCAATTGAATGTAAATAAATTTTGTTGAAATTCGATACAACTATG